TTTGTTAATTGGCTTTCAAATAAAAGCGCACAGCTAAATTCAAAGCGATATTTTAAATCATACAAACTTCCTTGAAATGAGTCTTAATTTCTTATGTTTATTTTAAAAAAGTTTTCGCTGTAAAAGTTTAAAATTATCAGTTAGGTACTTTTGTAGTGATGCATATAAGTTGATTTGTATTATATGTATATTACATACATATGTATGTATGTATGTGTAAGTGGGCCTCTGTGGCCCCTTAAAACAAGCAAACAAATGTGTAATTAAACAAACTGAAATATTAAAATAACTACTCTTAAGATTCGTTTTATAACATATCGCACAACCTCTTCAAAAGAGGCACAAATCAAAAAAGTAGAATTCTGAATTCTGTAGATTTTTTTGCTAAATTAATTCGCAGGATTTATATTCAATAAATGGAAAATCTCTACGGGATCTGATTTTTGAGTTGTGCCGGTTTTAAAAGGGTGTGCGATATGTCTATACGCAGTGTTCTTATTTTTGCATTAAATAATTTTATTCACATCTTTGTCTGTGGCATTTTGATAAAACAACTTAAGTGACTTTGGATTATATAAGTATAAGTTGCCCTACACAAATTTTATACTTCTGTTAAGCTTACGTATTTTGGAAAAGCATTTGAAACTGCACCTATGGCTAGTTAATCGTTAAAATATTGTTTGATAACCCATGGAAATGTTGCTTTAAACTAAATAGGGCTTACCTCGAGATAAGGTGTTTAATCAAAATGTCACAGATATGTACCTACATATGTATATATGTATGTAAGAAAACAAAGGTAAAATATCTCTGCAGTATATTTGGCAAAAGGATTCCGTAATAATGCTTCCTCAAGGGTGATCTTAGAAGAGCGTACGTAAATCACGTAATCGTTTTAGTGAGGAGAGTGGCTCTTGAAATCACCACTATCGGTGCAAGGGGCATAAAAGGCGGCATCTCCCATTTAAAACGATTTCCAAATTATTTTATTTAAATACATACAATAACTCACAAAACTATTTTGCATTGTTTTTGTACGATATTCAAACTTCTTGGTAAATTTGTATCATAATTTTTTATAAATACACATAGATCTCATTCTTCAACAAAAACCATGTAAATAAAAATTTCAACTCTCAGTAACTAATTTCGTAATTGCACAATGTTTATTAAAATTTAATGGCCAATAAAAACTGCATACCCGAATTTATTTTGAAAATTCGTTTTTAAACATTTAAAGTTTTATTCAAAATTTGCTGTATTTTCCTTCGTTTTGTCCAGAGTTTCAAACTTTTATTTTATAAAAAATTTACCATGAAAAATAAAAAAACATTTTGAATATCGTAAGAACAAACAATACATTATACTTTTGTGAGTGACTGTATGTATAACACGAAGTTTGTCATATTTAACTTACCTTTTTAATTACATTGAATTAAACTTTTTAGGCTGAGATAGGGCGTTTTCGAACTGGCTGCCGAGACAAGTCGATCTCCCACTCTGGTGACGATATGTACATAGAATTCTACTCGTATGGTTGCCGGGGTACACCAGGATATTGATCGTAATTGTAAAGCTAACGAATTGACTAGGAAACCTTCCGGGAAAGGACACGCTAGGTACAACAATAGCCACTTTTAAAAGATGTTTATTAGAGATAATATCATTCCAGTAGCCATTGAGCGCTGGAACAGCCATCGTTGCTCTTAAATTTAAACAGAAAATATGTGTCCTTCCCTATAAATACTCTTACCGGCCACTTCCTAATGTGGAGTCCGAACTAGCCTGTTTTGACCTAAGTGAGAGGAAGATCTATTCTACTGAACACACATGTAGGACAGAAAGGAAAAAGTTACCAAATTGAAATACAAATTACCAATTTGCCAATTTGATACATAGAGAAAAAAGTTACAAATCTTGCCACCGTTTGCTACCGGCACTTATGCCGCCTTCACATCACCCATCGCTCACTTGACCCACTCGAATGTCCCAGCATGGTGCCATATTTTGGACACCGTAGAGAGTCTGAATGAGATTTTCTCACCGGAGTGACCTATTTGGTAAGAGGTGGACGACCCGTGGCTGCCGAAGACCGCATGAAGCAAGGTGAGGGACCCTTGCTGGTTTCTTCACACGACAGTTGAGTCTACGCAACCGGAACAGCTCAGATTTATATCTGACCAAAAGCTGTGACTCTAGCAGCATTCTCCGAAAATCCGTTGGGGATTTTTCATGCTGATAACAGAGGAACAACAACAACCTTTTCTGTTGATATCAGCCTAGGAATCAAGTACGATTTCGCCTATAGTTTCTGTTCTGCGTTAGACTTAAGCGTTTTTCGCTCCTTAAGTTAAGTGTCGAGTCGTCGAACCGGCCCTTCCCTGGTCGACTAAGTAGACGATTTTGCGTCCGAGCAATTAAGGTTTCGACCTGTAGAAAAGCCACATGTGGGAGTCGGTTTGGGTCTTCAAATGTCTACGAAAACAATAAAATAGAAATATAAAAGTAAAAGTCACTAGTATTTTTAATGCAGTCTTGCCAACAGCAGTGTTTTCTGCATACACTTGCATCCAGAACTCTCTTGGCTCCCTTCGTAGTATTTAATATTCAAAGTGCTGTCTTCACTTATGTCCAGAAGGTTTTCAAAAGCTTAATTTGTCATTTCAGTAGGTTTAATTTTCGGGTCACATGAAAACGCGTTTGTGATCCAGCTGTAGACATCCTCAGAGTCAATGTTGGGAATAAATTCGACAATGGTTTTTTCTAAACCTTCCAAGTTAACGCTGGTAATGCGCGTTAACGCTAAGAAAATAACTTTTGCAGCCAATTTCTCGAAAGCAATTTAAGTAAAGAATGATTTTAATTTTTTGAATTTTATATGGAAATTGTCAGAAAATAAAAAATAATTTTCCATTTAAATTGCTGGTGCTGTTATCAATTTTCTTAATGTAAACTTCGAAGTTACATACGTTTTTCTGATTTAATTTGTTTATTTAAGGAGTTTTCATGCAAATTGCTAGAAATTCTAAAATATACACGTCACCAATAAGAAAAATCTCGACGTGCTTGAAAAAGCAAAGATGTATTTTAATTTCGCAGGTCTCTGTTATCTTTGCAGCGTCATTCAATACGGGTTTTAAATCTAGTGGCGGCGTCTTCCTAGTCGCCAGAGAATACCGACGGATCATACAGTGCACTGCACTGCACTACAAATATCCGCACACTCGCTCCATTTCAAACCATTTTT